GTTGTTCCAGGAATAAGACAGCATGTTGCAACAAGGCTTGATAGCAGCCTTTCCAATCTCTGTTCATTATCTATGGTAACCTATTCATTAAACTGTTGAATTAAGAAAACCCTTTGCTTTCAGTACTAGAAGTACTAATATCTGAACTCCAAATTCTTCCCTTAGAAAGAAATTGAAAGGGCATACTGGGATACCTTTCTTGATACAGAACTATTACTTTGGAAACAGAGACAAATTAGATTAAATATTTAAATTATCCACAAGAATTTTTTTTCCTATCAGGCTTCAAGAAAGACAGTATGTTTTGCAACCTGCTAAGGGAGCAGTCCTTTATAACTCTCTCCAGTTTGCAGATCTGAAGCCTCATAAATTAGTGGCACCTGAGCCAGAGCTCAGCTGTCTGCTGCAGCTATTGCTAAGGAAAGCATTACTTGCCCTTGGGATGAGTAATCTCAAGCAATATGGCTTCAGTGCCTATAGCTCAATATTCCTTGTTGAGACTCACTGGATATACCAAACAACATGGAAGTAAAGCAGTTGTTATTCGAGGCATCTAGTGTTTACTCAGATGCAACTGAGTTTGAACCGATCAAATCAAACACTTCATTTCCAACTGTACTCCTAAATCCCTCCTGCCTGGAAGGCCTGTTTTGGATCTTCTTGCTTGTTAGTATAGCGAAGGACTCTTGCCAATAACCATGCTTTTCACCCCTCCTTCTCAGAGCAGGAACTTGACACATATTGAAGCTGTTATCATAGGTTATGTCAGCTGCATACAGTTAACTGTCTGCTCCTGGCACAGTTATCCTTCTTTGCAGTTTGAGTATATGCAAGCTGTACTGAAAGAGATTGCCTGTGTTCTGCACAGTTTACTCTTAACTGTGTTCTCAATCAGTTCACAAATTTATCCGTTTGAGATATAGGATTTTCCTCTATTATTCTTGCATTCTCACAGCCTAAACCCATGTAATCCTGGCCATGTTGTTGAGTACTGCAGTGTGCTTACCCAGCCTCGTTATCCCAGGAGCAGCCAAAAGCCTATCATCAAACATTCATTTCAGCAGTAACTGAAGAGCACTCCACCTAGCCCCCAGATACTTCAGTGCATCTGAAGACACGAATTGTTGTAGCAGTTACTGTCACAGGAGTCACTCCATACTGCCTCTTGTAAGAGATGCAAATTATGTTCATTATGTATTCTGAGAAGACTGATAAAAATTCTGCTTGCAGAGCATACTTGTAGGCTCTTCTACAACAGTTCCAGTCTTGTTAGGTATTATGAAGCGTACTACTTAATGTAAGGGTTATACTTGCCTTTAAGATTAGTTATTACCAAGGCCCCCAGCTCTCCCTCGTATATGCAGCAGGAAAGGTAATGAATAACTACAGAAGACTCAAGTTTTAAAAAGTGGTACAGAAAGACCTATAACAGAGGTTAGAAAGGATTAACTAGGAATTTTAGAGTTTCACCACAGCTCTTATAGTAGAAATCCTACTGGACAGCTAAAAGAATTTCACAGATGACTGTTCTGCAGTAGGTTTCCCTACCATTATAATTACAGATATTCGAGGATGTTTATAGTACTATTCGTAAATCCAGACTATAAAGCAATCTTGACCAGGGTGTCTCTAATTTCCCATCTCTAATTTCCCATCTCTATGATAGTCTTGGTAGCATATTCTAGGGATGCCACATCCCTCAGAAGCATACAAGGAGTATCTAGAGTTTACCTTCCATCAACCAGGGTAGCCGCTGTTTGCAGACAGATCTGTGATTCAAGCTACTAGAAAACTAGTCCTTACTCATACAGTGACCTTTGTCCCTCGCCTCAAAGCGCAAATGACTGTATTATGACAGGGCACAGAAGATATCTGCAAGGTAGAAAAACAGGTTGTAATATTAAAACTACATCCCCAGTGCTCCCAACTTCTTTTGTCCCCTCCTAAGAGGAAAGTTTCATCCATAGGCATTTTAGCCATTGGCCTAAAATTATTAGGTGTGTGGCACATCAGCATTAGGATTTGAGTAGACTTTGCTAGAGGCACAACTTCCTAGCTGACATTGTCATGATGCCTCCTGACTTTCAAGGTGAAGGTTCATTATTCTGTCTTAGACCTACTTTTTCTGCTGAAGAGATAATCCTCATCTTATTGCTTAAGGATGCAACATGAACTGAGAGAACAGCAGGAAATACAGCTCCAAGGCCAATAATCTGTCCTTAACTGGCCCTGTAATGTCTGAGCTTTTAGATTTAAGGGAACATGCACCAGCTATGAAGCTGTATTAAAAGCTTTTAAAACTAATTTAAAAATCACACGGATAATTAGGGGTGAAGATCTACTGGGCATTTCAGCTGAGGCACTTCATCCTCAAGCACTCCAGAGCATATGCAAGGCACAGTTTTTCAGATGAGGGGAGACTAGAATGGTCTAGGTCTCCATAAGCTAGGGCTGAGAAGACATGGATGGGAGAAGATGCTTCGTTCAGCACTCAGCTGCCCAGCTCGTATAAACAAGGTAATCCTGTTGAAACTGGTACCTCTTGTTTATTGACTAGGCCTGACACTGTGCTTCATCCAGCTTCTTTATAACCCTGAGACCCTTGAACCCAAGGACAGCCTCAGAGTCAGGTTTCTAATGCCAGTTTTTTCTTCTCAGTTACAATCCTTAGACACCTTATTCTATTTGATCTCTTTAACACAACACCAGCTGTGATATCATCCCGATTCTACTAACAATCCATTAGTCTACAGGCAAGATCTAAAATTCTTCTCCAAAATCCTTGCAGATTACAAGTTACCTTCAAACTGCTTCATCATTTCTTTTGACAGAATCTAGCCAACAAGTGGAATTTGCAACAGCACTTTTTCCAAATCAAGCTGGCTTTCTCCAGATGTGGAATTTATTGCTTTTTTACTGGCAAATTCATGCTTCTGTAGTGGTCACATATTGCTATCCTTGCCAAATAAATTCTGCGAGCATTCCTAGGGTTAACCCAGCTGGTCACACAAATTTCCTAAACTTGTGAAGTTTACTAGGAAAAGAGACCATCAACAGGAGAGAAAAATCAGCAGGTTTCACAACAATACCTGACAGCTATAATATGTTGGTGCACTTCACATCATATCTCAAGCTACAGCTCTTCTACTTTGATTTTTGAGCATCCACACTGGATTCACCCTTCCTTGATATTAAGTTCACTTATTTGCTTTCCCACAGAGACAAAATCTACCTTTTCCATAGGTTATAACCATCTGCTTAGAGTGTTTCTTCTCATGTTTGCTTGAGAAATAGAGGCCTTGAGCAAGAAGCATAAGAAGCATAGCCATAGCAGCTACTGGTCTGCAGTGTGCAGGCAGTTTAACAAGTAATGTTCTTAATGAGAAAATAGATTGTGCAGAGATACTTAGCAGCATTGTAGATTAGACAATCGCCTTTACCTTCACAAAAAGAAATTGATGCCAGCCACATAAAGCCTGAAGGATTCAGCATTCACTCCATTTTACACTGAGCTTTCCTATGCACCAAATCATGATGTTTGCTACTTAAGCCTCTGTTCTGGTGACTCACCAGAGATTCATTTAGCACTCTCATCCTCCTTACCTTTGCTACCATTTGGTTGTCCTCCTTCCAATGCAAACCTACTGCTAATAAAAATTTCTGCTTCAGATGTGACCACATCTTCACACCATCCAGGGAATTTTGAAAAGCTGATTATGCCTCAAGAAACATTGCTGTGCTGGAAGACACTGCAGTGATTCTTTGAAGAGATGTAGTGGGTGACTCCCTCATCAGCTGGAAAGATTTTCTTTGGACTACAATTCATGTGTGCAGCCTCACCTACCACCAGGAAGGTCCTAATGGAAGCTGACACAAAGACTTGCTAGCATTATAATTTCCTAGCAGGTCACTATCAGACACAGTGACATCCTTTCAATTTAACATCACCTGTCAAATCTTCACAGCAAGCTAGAACACACACCTTCATAATCAATTCTCTCTAACTGAATCTGCATCTTTAATTCTGTCTATTTTCTGAGGTGTTGCCATCCTAGAGCATACCTGTGGCTATTCTTTACCATACATTGTGCAAGTCTAAGCCTTCATGCTTGATCATGCTTGATTCGGTTAATTTTGGGCAGCCTCGTTTGTGGAAGTTACAGAAGACCTCTGAAGAAAAAAAATGTACCCTTTTAAGGCAAACTAGCTTAATTAGGAGAAGACTTAAAAATCCCCGACTCTCAAATTAATAAAATCAGCCTTACCAGTGAACTTGCAGTACGCATTCGAGTAACCAGTCTCAACATTTTTGAGGGGTAAAAGCTCCTTACAGAGAAGTCCAGCTGAGGAGATCTGTCTATGTTGGCAACACCTGCGTTTATCTTACGGCTCGCTGCACTGGCACTGTCCCAACATTAAGTGTCACCATAGACATAGACATTAGACCTTCTATATCATCACCTGAGAAGTCAGTTTCTCTGTCAAGATAGAAGACTAGTTCCAGATAATCGTCAACATCTACAGCTATCCCAGTTTATCCCAGACTGAAGCTGCACGCAGAAATTCACCGGCAGGCAGAAGGGCGCTCATCAAAAACAGAACAAAACCCTACTCCCGCTTCGCAGCATCCTAACCTGTGTTCTCATTATCTCTGCTATTAGAGAGATTATTTCATGCTCGTTGTTTGTTATAACTAACTAGTTATAGGAAATAGGAAATTTAGTGCTTATATAGTTAATCTGTTTAATGATTTTAACCCCATCCTCTCCACACACAGACCGAAATCGCGCGTTTATATCGCTTTGCCCTCATGCCTCCCCGGCCGCTCGCCTGGCCCGAGCCAGGAGCGGGATGCGGGCGGCTTCCACCCCTCCTGAGGCGGGGCACGGTCCCGCAGCCCCGCTCGGNAAAGCTCCTTGCCCCGGTGACAGCTCCTTCAGCCCCGCATCACCCCCTCCCCGGCTGTGCGAGCGCCGAGCCCAGCCCGCAAAGCTCCTTACGGGCTAGATCCGTGCCGCTCCGTGCATGATCCGCCGAGCGCAGCCGTAGCCTGGCTGGGACCGGGGCCCCGGTTAAATATTCGGCTGCACTCTCGCCTTGAGATTAGTCAGCCACTCACAGCGAGCGATATGGTTTTAATCAGATGCTGGCAGCTGAGGACTACCCAGGAATGCGCTGCGATGTTTTTGCTGCTTGGTCTTGGCTACTCCCCCTCAACGTGTCGGTGCTCACAAGTTTAACCCCTTGCGAGCCGCCGCTGCGGGGCGGGAGGGAGCTGGGCACAGCCTCCGGCGGGGCCCGGAGCCCACGGGGGACACGCAGGAGGGAAGTGCGGGGACACCGCTGGGCCCTGCGGGGGCACGGAATCGTCTGGCACCCACAGACTGTACCACCGTCTCCATCCTCCATCTCCCCAAACCTGTGACCAGCCGAACCAAAATATTGGGTCAGTGCAAATCAGTTTCTGGGTCACATGCAGACCTGACCTTTGTACTTCCCACTCATCTTTATTCAAACATCTATCATGTTTTTTGGTGTTTTGTTTTGTTTTTTTTTTTTTTTCTCCCCCTCGCCAGAGTACAGCTGTTTTCCAACTTGTATGAAAGAACCTCTGATTAAAGAAATCGTATTTTTGTCCTTGTAGCAGAATGATTTGTTTTCTTTTCAAGGCTGTAGACCTAGTTTACCTTTTTTTAAAATTTTTTTTTTAAATTTCTGTTCAAAACTGTGCCTTTTGTTCTGCAACAACATGCAATTAAAAAAAAGAAAAAAAGAGCAGCATTATATTTTTCTTGCTCGTTAAATACATTTTATAGATATTTTAAAATAGTCAGAAGATGGTAATATTTAACAGAAACCTATTTTACCACTTTTTCAAGGCTCAAAACTGGTGAATGCATTTGGCAAACATCCTCATCCACAGCTACTAAATGATACAATGCTTTTCTAGATACAATGTGGTGTTCTTTTTTCTTCATTAATAGCTAGACCGTGCTATTCCTCCCTGTGCCTGTGGTGACTAGGAGCTGATAGTTGTGTCTCACTTGTCCGTATTAGCCTTTCGTTTGGGAAGTGCTAATTTTAACCAAAAAGGACACGAGAAATGTCTCTTATGCTCTAGCCTAATGTTCACGGAAGGAAGTGCATGTCGCAGAAGAAAGGAGGCTTTTGCTACAGTTAACAGGTTGCTGGCCACACACACGTTGGTATTTGCAGGATTAGATCCGAATTCCTTGGGACACAGTTATATTCATGTTTAACAATGTTGGTTTTGTACAGCTGGCACTTCACTGTACATTGTTTTGGACAACTTGTGCTAAACACCCACCAGCAGGACTGTAGCTTCTTGGTCCTGGGGCAGTATGTATTTTAAAGAATAATACTTAGCTCAGCGTCCTTTATGAGTCACTCAGGCTGCCTGACATGAAGGTTGACATTGTGCCTGCTTTAAACCTGGTGCAGTAACAAAGCAACTTCTATGAAACAGGCCAGCCCAGAGCTGGCATAAGCAGGATTACCATCTGTGTTTTGCCCAAACAAACACCAGGCACATTTCACCAAAATACCTTGACTAGTCACACTAATGATTACAGATATGATTTATACTATTTGTTGAATTTGGAGGAACAGAAAATGCTTTACATCTGCTAAAAGCGTGCAGTTTAAGAGCCCTTCTGGGGTGCAACAAAATTACATCTAGTACAGAAATGACAAGGGGTCCTTCAGTATGGACCAGCACTTGGAACATCACTAACAGCCTGACAGGAAAAAAACTTTTAACCTGAAAAGTGGTTAATAACTAACGCTAAAAATTACAGTTTTCTTAGAAAATAAAAAAATATCTCAAGACTTGAAGGAATGCACTTTTTTTGTGTGTGTGTAAATTGGCTAAGAACTTCTCCTGATGTCTCACATTGTTGTGCTAAATGCTAAAATTCAGAACAGTTACATTAAACATATGTAATAGGATTGCCTTGCCTTCTGAATGCAGGAGGAATACAGGCAGAAAGCCCCACAGGAATTCAGTTATTTCATCTATACTACACTGCATGAGGAAATGTTTTACACTTTATGAAAAGTAAAATTATTTCTATTTCTCTACAGCAAAACCAGAATCAAATGCACAATGTCTGTTAGGACTTAGGGAGTGACCATTTAAAGGCTATGGTATAGAATGAGTGCTGTTTCTCAGGATGATGACTTATATTTTTTTGTGTCTGATTTTACTACTGCTGGCATAGGCTCAGCCCCCACATAAGGATTTTTTTGTGTAAGTTAACTGCTTTCTGTACAGAACAGTATCAGCCTCAGCACTTCCCAAACACAAGCCATTTTTCAGCAGGTCTAAAATTATCTTGAAGTTGCAGCTGGAACCCTTCACCTCAGTGAGTTTTTCTATAGCTTTCCGGATGTTAACTCTACCCAAACCACAGGCTGTCATTAGGATCACCAGGATTCCAGTCTGGGTGGAAACTGCAGTAGCAGCACGAAAAACCCCATCGAAGTGCAGAGACCTTGGGAAGACATCAGCTTTCATGAATGCCTCGAAAGTGGTATCAATAACAGTTTGTGAAAAATCTGCTTGCAGCAAAGCGGTCTGGTAGCTAATCTTGCAATGGCTTGCTCAGGAATGCATGGTTTATTATTAAAGTAATCTTTTAAGATTTTATTGGAATGTGCTTCCACAGAGATGTTTTCGCCTTTGTGCGCTTTACTATGTGTGTGTCATCTCGTCCATAATTAAACTTTTCACTGACAGACCTGGGACATTTTTTTCCTTAAACCTCCCACTTTGAATGCTGGAATTTCATTTGAACTTTAAATACTTCCTTGGAATTTGCCATAAGGTAAACTGTCTGCTCCCATACACTTTCCTGCACTGCTACAGACATTGCACACACACAATAAATGACTGAATGTAAGAGAATTTGCTTTTAATTTACCATTAAAAAAAGGCTGACAGGAATGAAATAGTTGTTCAGATGCTCATGTTATCCCTAGAGTATTCTCACTTGGGAATATGTGGGGAAAAAAATAATGGAAAACTGCCCTAAAAAGTACATTTTCAGTGAAGCTTCACTGCTGACAACTGGAAAAGGCGAAGTATGACAAAGGAAACATGAAGGAAGAATTTGTACTTCAGCCTTTGGACTTCTCAGCCAAGTTTCTCATGTGACTTGGACTTGCTGACCACTTCTTTTTATAAATTCAGTTAAAGATAAAGCCCATAGAATATCCAAGGCAAAAAGCATCCTTGTTGTTTAAAAATCTGAAATTACAATCTATAGCTCATTTTAGTACAGCTCTAGGCATATCTCCAGGAAATGCACATTGATAACCTCAATACCCAAATGCTGGTTCATCAAAAGACCTCAAACTTGTCTTGAAAATATTTCATCCTGGAATCAAGGATAAACTTGAATAATTATTTAATTGAAGGCTTCCTTCTTGAAGCCCAAATCTGGGTGTTTCAGACTCAGACTGCCACAGGGATTTAAATAGGTAACATGTTCAGCAATTCAGAAATCATTGAGTTGGAGAAGCTACTAGAAAGAGAAGTGTAAGAGCTGTTGAGACTCTGATGAGGTAAAACTACTCTCAGTCTGTGCCTTAACCACTGAGGCAAACCCAATTATTTTAGATTGCTTTCAGTGGTATTTGCTAACAGGTGAAGCTAACAGCTCACTCAGCTGATGACTACTAATGTTTGGCTGAGAGTGGATAATTTCCAGTGCTAGTTTACTGTCTGTTTTGCTTTAGGCCAGAATACTTGAGGAGGAGATGGTGAATTTTAGAACTAGAATCATATGCTTTACCAGTACTGCAGCCCTCCAGCTCTTCCAAAACAAGAGACACATTGAGTTGTTCAGCAGTTTTTTCTATATCCTCTCTATATCCATGTTTTACCTCAGGACCATGAATTTATCCAAGCAGAAAATGCATTGGTAGGCAATACTATCTCATTTGAAAGAGTGCATTACCCCGACCCAGGTTAGATAAATAAGCACAGTATTCTGTTTGGCAGCCATCAAGATCAAGAAAGACCAATACCTAAGCCATGTTCTCTGACTGTGAGGCTACTCAGTAAATAGTGGGAGGTGACTTCTTCCTCTTTTGACAAAACATGGCAGAATCTGTGGCCTGGTTGACAGTGCATGTGCATGGACATTCCTGCATTCAGGAAGGGGTCTTGGCCACGGTGTGCTTCTTCCCTGGCGTGGTGTTATATCCAGAAGAGAGGGAGAATTTCAGATCATTCTTCTTGGCAGTGTTTCCTGTTGGCTGGCTGCAGCTCCTTCTGTTTTTGTGTATTACATATTCTGGCTCTGTTTTTTGAGTCCACAGCTGGTGCTTGACTTTTGGGCTTCATAATATTTAGCATCCAAACATGTGAGCCTCTTCTGGGGTCTGGCTCATTATTCCTAACCTGTTAAATGGAGTTTGACAGTTGACTTAGCTGTGTTTGCAAATTCTGGTTAAAATGCCTTGATTTTTAATCATCTAAATAGTTTTACAATCCACTATTACAAAATTTGTCTCAGTTAATTGAAACCTGTCTTTGTTGTGCGGCACGTTTCCCTGTTTATACGTGTCAGTGTGAAAGCTTGTCCTCAACCCTCGTGATTTTTAAAGCAAAGTTGCATTAATTAGGCATTATACACAATTTAGATCTAAGCAAATCCAGAAAAATGTGTTCAATTCCACAGGGTCTTATTTGATGTAAGGTAACTGGGTGTAGACATCCTTGCCAATATGGGTTCTGTCGCATTATGGAAGACTGTCTTTGTAGTTATGAAGTACACAGATTGAGCAGAAGGGAATCTGAGATTAAATATATCAGAAATTCCAGGAACTAAGCTCGTCTTTGAATTTGTTCACCTAAATGAGTAAGTAACTGAGGAGCCCAGACAAGTACAAACTAGTGCCTGAAAGGTGTCAGCTTAATCTACGTGAGACTGTGACATTATTTTTGTGTTTAGCTCATAAATTGTACAGGCCAGGAAACAACACTGCTGGGATCAGTCATCCAAAAGAAGAAACACACATGGTTCTTTCTTCTATTGTTTATACAGAAGCTACTTCGGTTACAGCCTTTCTGTGTTCATGTACTTCCAGAAATCGTCAAATGGTGTTTACTATGTAGTTTATTTCACCCTGATTCA